CTGATTAGTGGTAATCTGGTAACTTCGAATACTAATTAGGGCTCGTTTGGGATGTAGGTTGGCTGGTGCCTCTATTTACACACCATCTTTTATCTCAAAATACACCACTACTCAAGACACATCTTTAGTAATTTAACAAATACAAAATTCGCTCAATACACACTACAATCTTCCATCTTTATCCTTACTTATATACTCTACCCACATCTTTCATCTTTACCTTTACTCACTCATACACCCAACCCATGATCTTCCATTTCTCCCTCCATTCTCTGTTTCATCAAAGCCGCTAGTGGTGAAGACCCATTCTCCTCCATTCTCTATTTCATCAAAGGCGTCGATGGAAACAACTCTACATTGGAGATACAGTAGGTGAGAATTCTCATTTGCTTAAATTTGAAGGTTTTATGTACTTTTTTCTAGGGGTGTAACTCGGGCGTGTTCGGTCGGATTTGGAGATTGTTCAAGCTCAGCCCAAGTTGTGCTAAGACCCGCCCAGGCCCATCTAGACCAAAATTGTAACTCGAGGTTGGCTGCCCAAGCTCGGCCCGAGTTAAACCCGAATTGTCTGAATTGTAAATGAATTTCAATTTTTTTTTTGGCTACCACATTATTAAATTATTAAAATTTGACTCTATTTACTTTTTTTATTATTATTATTTATAGAAAACCATTAACACCATTGAAACAAATAATTTATATAATATAAGAGAGATGCTGCTATAGTAGTACTTACAATTTATGAGTGAAAATAAAAAAAAGAAAATTTTATGTTATTTGTATATATAATATATATTCAATATGATTTAATAATCTAAATTACTTTAATATCATGTAATGGCTAATAATTTATATGTATATTTAATATTTTTATATGTGTATATATGTATAATTCGGGTTTCGAGTTGTTCGGGTTGTTTGATGTCTTTGCCCAAGCCTGCCAAATTTAATTTAGGTTTCTGAATTTTTGCCCAAACCTATACTGAATTTGAAAATATCTTATCCAAGCCCTAAAAAAATTCGGGTTGTGTTTGGGTTGCTCAGGTTGAGCTCGCCCAAGTTGCACTCCAACTTTTTTCCATTGCCATGAGCATTATATATGAATGTTTGGTTTTGCGAACCAGTGGCATTGTATATGAAAGTTTGATTTCGCGAACCGTTCGACACTAATCTGTCAAACATTAACCTTTTTGTCCGGAGTGTTTCTATCGAACAAATTCAATATGTTCGACATTTTAGTGTCGAACTCAAGTAAACTATTCGGATTTAGCCTATCGAACAATTTCAATATGTTCAAAATTTGAGTGTCGAACAAAATTGAATAGTCCGGCTCTGTACTTCCGAACGGACTTATCTTTTATTGTTTTTTGTTTCATTTTCAGAAATGGATGACCCTTTGAGTGTTTCACCAATTGCGTATATTTTTGGTTGTTTCTTTAAGGGTTTTTGGTTTTTGTCTCAAGATTTTTGGATTCTTGAGAGAGAAGATACGTAAGTAACGTTTGAGATACTTGGTGTGTATTGTATTCATTATTGTCCTTTATGGTAATTTTACAAAAGGTGTGTATCATAACCTTTTGTCCTTTGTGGTCATTTTATATAAGGTTAATATTGTAATAAAAATTAAACCAATTAATGACATGCCTTGAGATGAAAAGTGGTGTGTAAATAAAGGCACTCCTAGGTTGGCTTTTTGACTTTTGAGGCTAAAAAGCCTCGTTTGGAATAGGCTTATTAGCTTTTTTGACTTTTGTTAGACAAAAAATGAAATGATTAGGTGGATATTAATTCCTCATCTCCATTCCCCTATAATAAATTTTCCCCATTCTCCATTTCCCATTCCCCATGGGTACCACTCTCCCCATTTCTTAATGGGTTTTGATTTTTCCCATCCCACTTTAATCCTCATTTTTATTTTATTTTTATTTTTTATATTTAATGTTAACAATCACTTCTTTTTTTTTTTAAGGTTCACAACAAAAGCTAAATATACCTTCAATCTTTTTTCTTTCTTTTTAAATATATTTAATGTTAACTTCTTCTTCTTCTTCTTCTTCTTCTTCTTCTTCTTTTTTTTTTTTTTTTTTTTTTTTTTTTTTTTTTTTTTTTTTTTTTTTTTTTTTAGGGTTTACAATAAAAACTAAATATACGTTCAATCTTTTTTCTTTCTTTTTTAATATATTTAATGTTAACAACTTTTCTTTTCTTTTTTTTTCTTTTTTTTAAGGTTTTAGCTAAATATACCTTCAATTTTTTTCTTTCTTTTTTAATATATTTAATGTTAACAACTTATTTTTTTATTTTTTTATATTTTATTTTAAGGTTGACAACAAAAACTAAATAATTTATTAATGTGTTTATTTTTTTTAAAATTCAAATATCAAAAGAGGTCAAAATAGGCATGACGCCTACTAATGTAGTCTCTCTCTCTCTCTCCTATTCTTCCACCTCTGCCGGCCTCGTTCCACTCATGTTCTCTCTTTTTAATTTTTTATTTTTTATTTAAAAACTAAATTATTGATAAAAGAAAAAAAAAATTGACTGAAACAATTTAAAACGAAAGTGGTTCAAATATCTAAAACGACGTCGTTTTGGATATTTCGTTTTTTTTTTTTTCAAATACAGAAGAGAGAAGAGGCAAGAGAGAGAAGAGAAGAGAGAAGAGAGGAGGAAAAGAAGGCGGTGTCTCTCTGTCTTTCTGCCGGTGACGACGCCGGTGGGTATCACCGATCGCCTCTTTCAAACTCTACTTCTTTTTTTCTTTTTTTTATCTAGTTGATCTGGATGTGGATTTGAAAATGATGATGTTTATCTGGAGATGATGATCCGAAGAAGATGATGATGTTGATCTGGAGATGATGATGATGTTGATGAAGATGTTGATTTTTATCTGTTTTTTCTCTCTCTCTCTCTATATATATATATATATTTTAGTTGTTCTAGATCTGGAAGAAAAAAAATTGTTGACGATGATGATGATGATGAATTTTTTTTTTTTAGTTGTTTTGGATTTGGAAAAAAATAAAATAAAATAAAATTTGTTGTTGATGATGATAGTGGTGATGATGTTGATGAAATTGTTGACGATGATGGTGATGATGTTGATGAAGATGTTGATTTTATCTATTTTCTCTATATATTTTTTAGTTGTTCTAGATTTGAAAAAAAAAAAAAAAAAAAGTTGATGATGGTGATGATGTTGATGTTGATGCTTATGAAACCCAGCTACTTGTGTTGTTGAAACTCGAAACCTAGCTCCTTTTTCTTCTCTTTTTCTTCCTTTTGTTCTTCTTCTTCAGCTTTAGAAAAACGCGGAAAAAAAAAAAATAAACAAACAAACAAACACCAAAACGACGTCGTTTTGGTGTCGGGCCATTCGAGCCATGCTAATTGTGTTGTTGAAACTCGAAACCTAGCTCCTTTTTCTTCTCTTCTTCTTCTTTTTGTTCTTCTTCTTCAGCTTTAGAAAAACGCGGAAAAAAAAAATAAACAAACAAACAAACACCAAAACGACGTCGTTTTGGTGTCGGGCCATTCGAGCCATGCTAATTTTGAGCTACCAACCGGAATTGTTTGAGAAAAATGATGATTAACAAAATAAAAATAATACCTAAACAATGTGTTTTAAAATTTTTTAAGTTTATTTTAGGAAACATGAAGAATAAAAGGAAAAAAATAAAAAATAAAAAACTCAACACACCATGGGATGCGAAACACAGGATTACATCCAAAAAGGTAGACAAATAACAACATGTGATAAACGGGGCTACGGGGTGTCAAGAAAATTCTTCCACTCTCACGCAGGTCCAGGGGCAGCACCCCTTGCAGAGATCATCAAGGTGTCCTGTTGTCCGTTCCGAGATAGGAGACTATAACCTGAGAACTTACCCCGACCTCCCAAGATAAGTTCTGCTTAAGTCAGGACTCGAGCAGTGGGGGAGTATTGGGCCTACACCAAGTGGACTCGAGCAGTGGGGGAGTATTGGGCCCACACCAAGTGCTGTGGTAGCAACAACTTGAGATTAACCTTCTAACCAACTGCCCTACACCCAGAAGATTGGCCCAAGGAGTTTTGAACTTGGGACCTAGGGTCTTAACCCCCAAGCCTTTACCAAGTTGCCAACACCCTTGGGTTAATCTAGGAAGTTTTGAGTAATGTGATATCTAAATTATAATTGTTTTTTTTTAATTATTAAATTAATTGTAAAAAAGTTTATATATTATCAAAAATATAATTTTTTTAATCAGATAAACTAATTAAAAAAATTAAAAAAGATAAATTACAAATACATTTCATGAGATTTGCTTAAAATACAATTTACCTACTGTAATTTAGAAAATTACAAATACCTCATTATCAGAATTTTTCATTTAACAAAATTAATTAAAAAAAGTGAAATTTTTAACTGTTCATCTATATAATAATAAAATTATCTGAATTATTAATTACAATAAAATTTTAACATTATTAAAAATTATTAATTAATTTGATGATTTATTAATAAAAAAAACTCATTTATTATGAAATTAAAAACCGTAGAAAACATAATGTGAGCTCTAAAACTATAAAGGAATTTATAATTTAAATAAAATTTAGGGATGGGTTTGTAATTTACCTATTAAAAAATTAATTAAAATACTCTCTCCGTTCCAAAATATTAGTCCCTTATTCTATTTTTTATTGTCCCAAAATATTAGTCCCTCTTTATAAATCAAGTACAAAAATAATGTAAATTTCTTATTTTGTCCTTCTTTTAAATTAATAAACAATTTAAAAAGTACAATTATGACATTGATATTTTCAAAAAATGTACTATCAAAAGGATAATTTTGGAAAATCAACTTTTTTCTAATGCAATAAGTGTACTATAAAAAAAAAGTTAAATTCTCCAAAAGAGACCAATATTTTGGGACGGAGGGAGTAGTAAATTTCCAAACCACCCAACATGTGCCCCTTTCGACCTATGAGATGGCAGGCAGTCTATAAAATCGGAAATAGCCAATCAAGCTCCTCCTCCTCATCATCCCACAAACATGTTGCTCTCATCTTTCCAGTAAAAGATAGATATACATAGAGAGAGAGAGAGAGAGAGAGAGAGAGAGAACAAAGCAGTAGAGAGAGAGAGAGCTAAAATCCATGGGAGGAGGAGTCAACTGTTTCTGGTTCCAGCTCTTCATCGCTCTCTCCCTCACCACCATCGCCCGATCCGTAAGTTCCACTCTTCTCCCAAACCCAAATCGTCCCTTTTTCCTTTTGGTTTGGCATTTCAATGAGTATTTCTAATGCATATATAGATATACATACATACATGAATGCAGGAGGATGATTGTGTGTACACTGCGTACATTAGAACCGGGTCGATCATCAAGGGAGGAACAGACTCCATCATCAGCCTGACCCTGTACGACGAAGACGGGTGGGGGATCCGGATCTCGAACCTGGAAGCCTGGGGCGGGTTAATGGGTCCGAACCACGACTACTTCGAGAGAGGGAACTTGGACATCTTCAGCGGGAAAGGCCCATGTCTGAATGGGCCGGTCTGCTCAATGAACCTGACTTCAGACGGGTCCGGCCCACACCACGGCTGGTACTGCAACTACGTGGAGGTCACCACCACTGGGCCCCACAAGCCCTGCTCCCAGCAACTCTTCACGGTCGAGCAGTGGCTCGCCACCGACACCTCACCCTACGAGCTCACAGCCATCAGGGATAACTGTGGATGGGACGGTTCTAAGGCCCTCGATCATGCTGATCGTGTTCGCGTTATCGACGGTGGTGATGTGCCTGTTGTTTCTGCTAGTATGTGAAATGTGCTGTTTTTAATTTCTTGTCGGCATGTATGCTAGATATTGCTTATGTTCTTATTGTATCCTATAGAGGCTCGCCACGTGGTGGTGATGTTATGGATATGTGGACAAGAATATTAATGGAATAAGGGTCAAGGCCTGAAAGATGATGTTTCATTAGGATCACTTTCTTGTGGTATGTATATGCACATTATTTCTTTCACCTAATCCCTTTTAATTTCGTTTTGTCGTTTCTATTTGTACTTGATCATATCAAGATAGGTTTTTGACGGTGAGTAATTGTTTAACACTGTGTGGTATTTTGGGAAGTGAATAAAAAATTAATTTTTTAATTTTTTTTTCAATTTTTTTGTGAATAAAAATGAGTGATTATGTGATTCAAAATAAATTAAAAATTAAAAATTGACTTTTTAGTGGATTGTCAAAGCACCCTTGTGTGTATTAATTTTTTCAAAAAAATTCACCCTTGAAATAATATTGTAATAGTGTTTTAATAGTCTAAAATACAATCATTGAGATTTAAAGAATCATTTAAGGCTACTTTAATTTCAAAGTTTAATCATAGAATAATGTTATATGTATTAATTAATATATTAACAGATGATATGATATAATTTTAAAAATTTTAAATATTTATAATTTATATAATAAGTGAGATCAATAATAATAACATAATATCATTTGGTATATTGATGTGTATATTAATTAATATATGTAGTATTACCGTTAACCATATAGACACGCTCGTCGTTAATATGAATGCAGTTTGCGTTGGTTGTATTATCTATTTTTGACAAAGAAAATTAGCTCCAAGTAATATTTACAAAAGTTGTGCTAGTATTTTAAATTATTGAATAATTGTTCGTAAGATGCCTCTAACAATTTTACAATTTGGCCCACGTGCAATTTATGGGCATGTTTGGAAAGTTAAACTTTTAATTAAAAAGTCATTATAAAAAAGTTATTTTATTTTTTTATTTTTTTAAATATTTTTTTATAAAAAATTAAAAAATTATTAATGAAATCAATTTTCAAACCAATCCGGAATTTAAATGGAAATGATATTATTAATATATGCATATATATATATAATTAAAATTGTTATGTCCACGTAATCGTTTTTGTGTTTACAATTTCATTTTAATATTTAGTCTGTAATTTAATTTTTAGGCTTAAATTGAGTTTTAAGCATATTCTACAGTGAAGCATTATTGGAACCGATTCTAACACCAACCTTTGATCATACATACTCGTCTTTAATGTGAATGTAAAACTCATGCATTGTATCATATTAGATAAGGAATTTTATTTAAAATTAGTCTTTTGGGTTTGGTTAATTATAAGAAAAATTATATTTGTAGTTTATGTATTTTGTCTCTTATATCGATTTTATTTATATATTTTTAATTGTATCAATTTTACTCTTGATTTTTTATTTTTTATTTTTTTATGTTGTGTTGATTTAGTTTGATTAATTAGATCTCTTTAAAAATTAGATTGAAATTAAAAAATAAAATAATTTATTCACTCAATGTAAATGTGAGGTTGTCATCCATAATAAAAGAGTATTGTTAGGGTGATTCTATTTACGTTAAAAAAGAGTTTCCTTACACCCTTTTTTCTAATTAAACGCTTAAAAAAATTTTAAATTTTAATTTTTTCTCTTTATACTGGCACTAGTATTGAACTTACTCCCACTACAACCCAACTCCCTAGTGCCCCTCTATTACCAACAAACCTCTCACTACTGCAACCCACCTCCCAATCCCCTTCTTATACACCTGCAAACCCCTATCACCAAATATTGAGAAACATATCCCATACTACTGTGATCCCCTTAGATCTAGGATTTTGTAAGAAGAAAAAGAAGAAAATCTGGGAAGAAATGGTTGGGTTGTGTGCTAAGGTGCAAGAAGAAGAAGATGAGCAACGGGGAGAGGGGTGCAGAGGGAATGGCGGCGATGGAGGGGAGAGGGATGGGCATCAATGGTGTATTGAGGGTGGTTTTGAGAATTTCTGATTTTTTAATTTTTTTAATCTATTTTATCTTTTATGAATAAGTTATGCGAATTTCCAAAAAGTACTGAGTAGGGGGTGATCCTGGCAGAGATGGGCGAAAATGACTAGCTTAGAAATGAGTGAGGAGGAATAGTGTGAAAAACAGAGAGGAAAGAGAGAAAAAAATTACAGTTGCGTTTGGTAAAATTTTAAAATTATGATTTGAGAATAAAGTTATATTTTGAATTTGTAAGTTTTAGAATTATGATTTGAGTGTGAAAAATTTATTTGGTTATAAATTTTGAAAAGAATTTTGAATTGAGTTTGAAAATTTTGATATGATATATGATATTTGATTTAAAAACTTACAACTTATAACCAAACACACGATCTAAAATTCTATTCAAAACTCATAAAAAAATTAAAAAAAATTCTAAAAATATTTTTTATTTAAAATATAAAAATAACAGTTGAAAAAAAAAAACCAGCACTGTTCCGATCAACAGGCCGGACGTCTGGGGGACGTCCGGGTAGACCTATTTTCAAAATGGGTGTGAAATCAATTTTCGAAAATTCTAATCAAACACCACACTTTAACCAAGAGGTGGAATCAACTTTTCAAAACCTTAACAAAACCTTACCAAACACAACCTATATTTTCATACTTAAAAATGCTTTATGTGAGGATAATGTGACAATTTTGTTAGATAATTTAATATCAAATTAGCCGAAGGGGTCAAATTGCAAATTGACCAAAAGTCTAAGTGACAATTACAGTTTAAAAATGAGGAACTAAAATGAGATTTGATATAAAATGTAAAAATAAATAGTATAATTTACTGTTTTATAATAATAAGTCACTTTAACGAGCCTTCGCTTTGAAATGAATTGATACAAAAAGTACTAAGCATAGATTTTCTATTTATATGTTATTATTCTTTAAAAAATATCACTGCTTCACCATTTGAGAGAGATAAAGAGAGACACACAACAACTAAACAAATGAGTTTAGAATAACAATGGATCAAACAAAAAATTTGAACACCAAGTACGTCAAAAACTAGATTACATTCAAGCATACATATAAACACTGATCCCCCCATTCCAATTCAATCCATTTGGTTTGCTCCAATTCAGTCCATCATCCTGCATGCACTCCATGCTAAAAAGGGCTTTGCCACCAAAGTTGAACCAACCCTATTCCCTCTCTTGCTTCTTTTTACTTTCCTTTACAGCATATAAAGAATACTCAGAAAAGTACCCCACAAATTATCCTTTTTTCCCATAAATAAAATAATTTAAAAAATGGTTTTTGTCTCCTTTTCTGCATATGTTTGGTCCCTCTGGCATTTTTATGGGGGATGAGAACTCAAAAGATTGTTTTCCATAGATACCTTTTTTTTTTTGGCATTATGTGGTATAGTATTTTATGGAGCTTTCTAATAAATCATGGCTGTTGCCAGGAATTTCTTTTACCCTTGAACCGTTCTTGTATATTTTGAAGACCGGTGATGAGCCAACACCTTCCGATTTCGCCAATGATGGATGATCTTCAATATTCACCTGAAATAGGTCATAAAAATGTTGTAAGATCTCGGCCCTTGAGAATAGCATTTCAGCCCTTGAGGTTGCCAATAGCATAACAAATACTTTCATCAAGTCAACTGTTTGATTAACCAACATTATGTCAAGAATTTAATTTTTGAAAATATCCATTTTAGAGCATCTTTAATGGCAAATGCTATAATAGCATTGTTATTCTTATAATTTGGCAATGAATGGTAAAAAATGGTAGAATTATAACAATGGTACTCCAATGGTCATATGTCATTTTGGCAGAATCAAACACAAAAATAATGGTGCTCCAACAGTTTTTGTGTTTGGTTTTGCAAAAATTATCTGTTTTGCTGAGAGGGAGAAAAATGGTTGGTTTTAGCTGAGTTGACATATATGGCAGCTGTCAAAACTTGTGTCAAATTTGGCACAAGTTTTGACATTTATCAAATTTGACAACTGTCATATTCACCATTGGAGCACAACTTTTCAACCGTTATTATTATATAATAGCAATAACAATTCCAATGACAAACCATTAAAGATACTCTTACCCTTTAGAAGTGCCCGTCTACTATTTTGCAATTTCAACTAACCATCCATCTCTCCTTCTCTCTCTGTCCATTCTCTCCCTCTGTGTCGCTTCTACTAAAATTTACAGGATAAAGGCCTTGTTTTGTTCGGGGAGAGGTGACTTATAAGTGTCACAAAAGATTTATTTTATTTTGATCTGTAGTGAAGGCTGCCCACAAATGCAGGGGCTTTAAAGGGAAAGTCATTAAAGTATAGACTTTAGGTCCCATTTTAGAAAAGATCTCAATCTTCCTAACATAATCAAAAAAGTAATAATACAATTTTTTGCCTTTTTTTTTTAAAAAAAAAGGCCCAGTTTAGATATGGCATTTACAAAACTCAAAAAAAAAAAAAAGAAAAGGCCCCTCACCTATTGATTCAGAAAAGTTCTGCACTAATTTGGTTTATGTTTGTCGAAGGCATCCGCACTCTATTTTTTTTTTTTTAGGTCGACATTAGAAAACTACTCCAAAATTTACAAGTTCTATATTGGACAACTTATGGCACTTTTCATATTACAGTCTCATAAAAAACTTTAAAAAATAACCCCCCAAAACTAATAAATATTATTTGAATTTACATTTAAATATTATTTTAATTTTCATCTCCCAATGAGATTTCTTCTTAGGCCTAGTCAAGATTAGGCCGGCCCTGCACTAACATTTGAGATTGGAAGAGGAAGAAGAGTGGCTACGGTTGTGGTACGAAGGTGGGGCGAGATGGTGGTGGTACTATGGGGAGAGAAAAACAGAGAGAGAGAGAGAGAGATTTAGGCGAGGGAAATCAGAGATGAGAGTAGTAGCATCATTTGCTTTTAGTATTGACGTGTTATGAAGTTTTTTTTTTTTTCTTTTTTTTTTAAAAAAAAAAAAAAAACTCTGACAAGGAATTTATAATTGGGGAAATTACAAATCCATAGACATTTCAAGAATTAATTACAGATTCATGAAAAAATTTGTGATTTTAATTATTAATATTTATAAAATTTATCACTAATTTGTAATTATTTTTTGAAATGTCCACTGATTTGATATTTTCCCTTTATAATTTTTCAAACTAGATGTGGCATCTGTATATGTCAAATATCATAAAGAGGGGTGTATTTTGTGTAATTTACACTAATTGAAAAATAATATATAAATAAAAGAGAGGAGAGGAATAGAACCTTGAAGAAGTTGGTAGAGTTGTTATATCTCTTGCGGAGTTGGTCCATAAACTGCAATGTTTGTCCGTCAACGGGCTTGTTACAGAATAGCATCACATATACACCTGTCAATATAATATTCAAATTCAACAATGTTACATTATATATATACCCTAAAACATATAGTATCTCCAAATCAATCAATTGGAAAAAAAATATTAAAATCAACAAGATCATTTTTTATACCAGGTGATGAAATGCAGTCTCTAAAATGATCATTGCTGGATATGAGGGGCACATCATGAGCAGCAGTAGCACCATCACTAACCTTGATGTCCCTAGTCGTGACACTTTGTTGGACTTGGACTTGGCCGTGCTGTTTGTTAAGTTGTAACTGGGCATCCTTCAAACCCCGGACCGAGTCCTCGTCTTCTGGTGTCTCCCTCACCATCATTTCATAATCTTCTATACATGCTTCCCATTTTCCCAACTACCACACCACCATTGACATCCCATTTTTTAATTACATAAAAACACATATCTCACTTTAGGATTCTATCGTCTACTTAATGTAAGAATGTAGGGGTTAATTTAACATACATCCATTTCTTTTGTTAGGAAGGAAAAAAAGAAAAGAAAAGAAAAGAAATTAATAATCATAAAGTTGGGAAGATGTATTTTTAAAATTTGAATATGACTCTCTCTAACTAGTCCTTTCGAATCTAATCTTTTTTAATTCTTTATAAATAAATTATTCGTGAAAAAAATTATATTGATCCAATAATCTTTTCTACGTATTTTTATCGTAATTATTTCAAAAAATGGACAATATGTTTTTTAAATTATATTTATCATTCATTTTTTTAATATAGATATGATAAAATCACGTAACTAAAATTATTAAGATTAATTTGAATTTCTTTTTTCATAAATAATTAACACGTGCAAATTTAAAAATGAGCAGATTTGATTATCAAAATGAGTTGTGCAGTTAGCCCATTTGGCTAGACTAGACCCATCTAGTCTAAAGCCTAGTTTGGGAAGACTAAATAAGTGTACTTTTTGACTTTTTATGAAATATGGGTTGGGTTTGAAATGATGTGTTAGAGAGGTGATGTGACTTAAATAAGATGATGTGACTTAAATAGGATAGTGACTTTTTGACTTTTTGTCTTTTTTGTCTCATGCCAAACTTGGCTAAATAAAAACCGAAGACCATTCAATTCCTTTTAAATTTTGCTCATAAATATCAAAAAAATTCAAAAAATGTTGCAACAACTAGACATATAGGGTAGGCTACTAGTAGTTAGTTAGTTACCTTCGCATAGCAATCGGCTCTTCTTAATCTGGCTTTCCTGTAAGATGGGCGCACATTAAGGGCAGCGGTGCAGTCGTCGATTGCTTTCTCAAATTGGCCGAGTTTGGACCTGCAAGTGGCTCTGTTGCACAACAACACCGAGTTGTAGGGGTCATGGTCGAGTCCCTCTCCATATGCACCACAGGCCTCCGAGTATCTTTGTCCCCTGAACAAATCGTTACCGTTGGATCGAGCCATTGCCACCGCCCGTGTCCTCCTGACCACCATGTTCACTTCCTTGCTGCTTGAGTCCAGCCGTGCTGCTCTTTGAGCTGCCGCCACCGCATCATCAAATCTGTCAAAATATGCCATTGCCCATATATATTACAAAAACCATATCTTGGCTTAACAATTCAAAGTTAAAAACAAGTTTAAATTAATAGGACAAGCTTCTTATGTTAAATTATACTTGAAAATGTCAACTGTTTTCGTGTTTACACTAGACAAAATTATATGCATAGAAAGTTGCATAGTGAAGTGGTTAGAAAATTAACTATGTGATGAAGAATTAAATTTAGTACGATGAGGGCAAGGCTTTTGAATAGTGGTAGCAAGAGACAAATTATTGGTTGTGGTATTAGGAATGTTGAGCAATATGTGCCCCGAATCAAATGATACAATTGTGAATTTTATTTTATTTATTTTTAAATCATCAGTAGCAAAAATAGTTTTATAGTAGCTAAATCAACTATAATCAATCATTAACCAATTGTATCAACTGTGAACAAAATCACGAATTAGTCATAAACCGATATATGTATCGCAAATTGGCTGATATACATGATTTTCATTTCTATTAATTCCGGTATTAAAAGGCTAAAAACCAAATACATACTGCATCTGTGAATATCGAAAATCATGAGTGAGAGTCATACTCCAAATCAACCTTATCCACGAATGCATTTTTATTTTTGATCACTGGCATCTTTTTCTGACAGCATAAAATGGTTGGTTAGAAAGAGATCAAGATGATGCATTTTGAGTCTGGCTTTTTGGGTAACAGGTCAAAGGTTTACCAACTCTAATCTTTATGCTTTCTTTTTAACTCTTTTCTTTATCCTTAAGTTTACCTTTTGAGCTGTTCTTAAAAACAACACAATTAGCGTCTTCAACACACTACAATCTATAGTGGCACTTTCATGCTTTACAGTTAGATATGGATAAGTCTACCCCGTTCACTTCGGGTAAAAAAAAATGCATTGTAACAGTTTTTCTGTGTGTTGTAGCCTGTGACAAGTAGATCAATAATGCTAAGATATCAAATTTCTTTTTTTTTTTTCCTTTTCATATTTTGTTTAATATGACGCCCCTGTTATGAAAATAGATATAGACCCATTAAAATAAATAAGGCAATTGAGTAGTGAGAACGATGTGATTATTTTAACATTATTGCAAATAAATATATTGTGAATAACATGATATCACGTGACAATATCATCAACTAATGAAATAGTAAAAACAAGGCGATTGAGTTTGTTGCCCAACTCTATTTCTCATTTTTATAGCTGTGTATACCTATAAATATATGCACTTTGACTAAGGCCTAGTTTGGGAAGACTAAATAAGTGTACTTTTTGACACAATTAGCGTCTTCAACACACTACAATCTATAGTGGCACTTTCATGCTTTACAGTTAGATATGGATAAGTCTACCCCGTTCACTTCGGGTAAAAAAAAATGCATTGTAACAGTTTTTCTGTGTGTTGTAGCCTGTGACAAGTAGATCAATAATGCTAAGAATCAAATTTCTTTATTTTTTTTTCCTTTTCATATTTTGTTTAATATGACGCCCCTGTTATGAAAACAGATATAGACCCATTAAAATAAATAAGGCAATTGAGTAGTGAGAACGATGTGATTATTTTAACATTATTGTGAGAACGATGTGATTATTTTAACATTATTGCAAATAAATATATTGTGAATAACATGATATCACGTGACAATATAATCAACTAATGAAATAGTAAAAACAAGGCGATTGAGTTTGTTGCCCAACTCTATTTCTCATTTTTGTAGCTGTGTATACATATAAACATATGCACTTTTAGAATTTTTTTTTTAATTTTTATTTATATATATATAAAAAACAAACAAACAAACAAACAAACACTGATGATGACTGACCTGCCGGCAACCATATCAACTTGAGCCCTAATCACTAACAGACTTGCATGACCAATAGGCCCAAAGAATTGAGTGCAATCATCCATGTCAAAATTTGGTCCCTTCGTCAATGCTTCATCTGCTTCTTGAAGCCTATGCAGCTTCAGCAAGGCCTCAACTTGCAATGCAAAAATCTTTCTCAATTACCAACAACCAAAACAAAACACTCATGTCAATTTCAAGCCCATAGCTGTGGCACCAAACATTGAAAACAGAACATAACATTTAAAGGCTGAAATTGAAGTGTATAGCTAACCTGTGGGGCGGAATCAGCACCAGCTGATATGGCGAGCCTGGTTTCTTTCAGCAGTGTGTTCCAATCTCGTTGTATCTTGGCCTCAGTACACTTACTCAGACGAACCTGAAGATTTTTAGCTTTAGTCAAGACATCAGGGTCTGATTCAGCACCTGCTTGTTTATAGTGATACATTGCCTTTTCTGCTTCTCCTAATCTGCAATCACAAAATATATATTACAACACTAGTAATGCCCAATTAAGCATAATATACATTAACTAAATAACAATTGAAGATCTGAAAACTAAAAGATGATTTATCATGTTTTAAATAGTAGGAGACGAATTAGTATTGGTTGATGTGCAGTGATATAAAGAGTATTGAAAGATATGTATTGAGAATTTGGTGGCGCAATCAATTTTTTTTTTCAAAATCATCAACCAAAATATTAATTAAACAAAACAAAAAAGTTATATAGCAGCCGAACCAACCACATCAACTGTCAATCGAGTTGTGAATTGATTATGAATCAATACGTATGGAGAACTTACTGAAATTTAAGACCTAGAGAGGTGAATAATATCATTACCTAACATATAGAGTTGCCAAACGATTATGAGCTCTTTGATAATATGGTTCAATCCGAATTGCTTCTCTGCACTCGAAAACCGCCTCAAGAAGCCTACCCAGAGCGGTCAATGCCGCACTTTTGTTACTCCTATAAGAGGCCTTGTTTGGATCAATAGAGATAGCAGCCTCATACAAAGCCAGTGCTTCAGCAAACCTTCCATTCTTGTAATCTTCATTCCCCATAATCTTCAGCTGCTCAGGATCCATCCTCGTCGACAGAGCTCGACACAAAGAAGTTGGTTTTTCGCCCTCTTTCTTCACCACATTTCCCATTACAGAATTCGGGTACCTCCCATTGGGCTTCGAATGCTCTTCTTTCGTCTTGGGCAAGTAATTGAGCACATCAGCACCACCACCGGTACCGCCACCGCCACCGCCACCGGGTTGTCTCAAGTTACCCAAATGGCCATAGAGCATGACATTGCCGGAGGAAGCTCGGACGAACGTTCCAGCTCCCTTGGATCGCTGGTGATCGGCGATCATGGTTTCAAGCTCGCCGGAAATTCCAGTTGTCCCCTGCGGTACCCTTCTGGCTTGGCCATACCCTTCTCGAACCGCGCTTTTCGGAGCATTATTTTGTTGTTGTTGTTGTTGATGATGATGATTTTGATGAGATTGAGGTGGGACTTTTTGATGGTTTGGTCCAGGCCTAGGAATGACTCTGTCAACTTGTTTTTGTGATGCTTCTGTTGAAACTGTCGATGTTTCGAGGAAAGCTGCCTCATCAGAGCCTCCTCGCCGCCTCTTAGAATTGGGTGTGCTCGGAACTCTGACAAGGTTGTTGGCATTCGAAGTGGGAAGTGAATTGGTCGAGGTTGTTCTTCTCGGCCATATGTTTCGGCGTCCGAAAACTGCATTCAAAAGGCCACACCCAGATTTCTTCTCTTCTGGAGAAGAGTCTCCCATTTCGTGTAATTCAAATCTGTTCTAAGCCTTTGTGAAGAAGACAATTCTATATTGATGTTAAAGACCATGCATTGGGAATTTTCCGGGAAAGTCTCTTTCAGGCAAGAAAGACGAGAGAAAGAGAAAGGGATTGTGGAGATTTGATTTGAATTCAACCCGTGTCAGCAAAATGTAGAGGACCCATGTTGAGAAAGAGAGAAAAGAAAATAAAAGAGAAAGGGAGAGAGATTGGGAAGGAGAGAGATTTTGAGAGAGAGATTAGAAAAGGGGTGTACAACATGCCAACACCCAGGAGAAGTTTTCATTTGATTTCACAGCCTCCTGGTGTGTGCCTGCCCAAAACAACAATATCTCTCCTTGACTTTTCCCTTTTTTTTTTGTTTTTTTTTGTTTTCTCTCTTTCGGTTGGTGAGATGAAATGCGATGGCATGAGAGAGAGAGAGTATGATTTGAAAATAAAATTTCCAGAAAAAAAAAGGGTAATATTTTAGAGGGTTGTATTATTAAAATGAAAGTTGGCTACTATCCCTTTTTTTTTTTTGCTTCTAAATTTTTTTGTTTATTTCTTTGTTTGTGTGGTGGGAAAATGGTAGCGAGAGACCAGGTCATAAAAGAAACAAGGATCTCTAGAATTTTAGAAATTTTGGAGAGAGAAGAGAGAAGGTGTAGGCTTGTTGTGTCATGCTCATACCATCTCCCATTTGGCATTTGTTAAGAGTCTAAGGAGGGATTTCAAGTAGAGGGAATTTCAAATATTCTATTAAATATTTTATTAAATTTTTAATATGAATGTGAAATTTATATACATAAATTTGTGTAAATCCTATCTCACACGAGATGTTTAATAAAATATTTAATATTTTTCTTTAAAGTCTGTATTAGTGTTTGAGCACCTCTCTCCCATGGTTGCCAGCTAAGTGGCTTCTAGACCTACCCACTCCATTGACCCCTTTGTCCTTAACCTCTGTTTTTCTCTCCGACATATGACATTCTCAAGATATGTAAATTACTTTTTGCACAAAAGTAAATTACCACATACGTTTTTTTTTTCTTTTTTTTTTTTTTTGACAAATTACATATAGCCCTCGAGATTTAGCAAAATTATAAATATTCTTTTGAAGTTTGAGAAATTACAGATATTTCTCTAAAAGTACTATTTACATAACAAATTAGGAGACAAATTATTACGAAAATATAAACCTCAGGGGGCAACTTGTTATGAAAATATAAACCTCAGGGAATATCTGTAATTTTCGAAACCTCAAGAAGATATCTGTAATTTAACTCAACCTTGAGGGAGGAATATGTTTTTTTTGCTTCTAAATTTTTTTGTTTATTTCTTTGTTTGTGTGGTGGGAAAATGGTAGCGAGAGACCAGGTCATAAAAGAAACAAGGATCTCTAGAATTTTAGAAATTTTGGAGAGAGAAGAGAGAAGGTGTAGGCTTGTTGTGTCATGCTCATACCATCTCCCATTTGGCATTTGTTAAGAGTCTAAGGAGGGATTTCAAGTAGAGGGAATTTCAAATATTCTATTAAATATTTTATTAAATTTTTAATATGAATGTGAAATTTATATACATAAATTTGTGTAAATCCTATCTCACACGAGATGTTTAATAAAATATTTAATATTTTTCTTTAAAGTATGTATTAGTGTTTGAGCACCTCTCTCCCATGGTTGCCAGCTAAGTGGCTTCTAGACCTACCCAATCCATTGACGCCTTTGTCCTTAACCTCTGTTTTTCTCTCCGACATATGTCATTCTCAAGAAATGTAAATTACTTTTTGCACAAAAGTAAATTACCACATACGTTTTTTTTTTCTTTTTTTTTTTTTTTGACAAATTACATATAGCCCTCGAGATTTAACAAAATTATAAATATTCTTTTGAAATTTGAGAAATTACAGATATTCCTCTGAAAGTACTATTTACATAACAAATTAGGAGGCAAATTATTACAAAAATATAAACCTCAGGGGGCAACTTGTTATGAAAATATAAACCTCAGGGGGTATCTGTAATTTTCGAAACCTCAAGAAGATATCTGTAATTTAACTAAATCTCGAGGGAGGTATATGAAATTTATCAATTTTTTTTTTTGAACCGAGTTACCACATACGTTACTAAACACATAAAAATTGAAATTCACCGTGAAACCTGAATTATTTTGGAAAGTTGGTTAAAATAATTTTTTTTTTTAATTTTTTATAAAAAAAATGTGTAAAAAAAATAAAAAAGTGATATGGCCCAAAATATGTTGAAAGTCAAAATTTAGCTTTTAACTATGTTCCCAAATTAGGCCATACTATTTTGGAAATTAGGAAAAAAATTAATTTTTTGATTTTTTTAAAATATATATATATATATAAAAATAGAGAGGTGATATAATTTAAATGGGCTCTTTTTTGATAAATCCTATTTGTAACTGTTTTATTCCATAAAACCCAAACTATTTCTGAATATTCCATTAGGTCCATTAATTGTAAAAGGACGAAATACCCCTCATCCACCTCTCCCGCGTGTAACCGATTCTGCCAAAACCCATTCCCATTTCAACTATTCAATCCACAAAATTTCCAAAACAAAAACTGAATCACGAAACCAGATTCACATCGCCTCCAGTAACCCTAGATTCACATCGCCTCACCAATGCCGTCGTTGTCCACCGTCCACCGTCGACCCCAGATTCCTCTTCATCTCACTGCTGCGAAGGTTCACATTGGAAGGAGGGTGCTTCTTCGTCGTTGGATTGAGTTTATTTCATCCACTAAGAGTGACCATACCCACCCACCATGAGGAACAAAAGTAAGCAATACCATTCCCCTTTCTGCTTTTCAATCATAATGTGATCACCGATATATACATCCACCTTCTGGTTTTCAGATTTGAATTTGTAAACATAGATGTTTTCAGAATTGATTTTGTAAACACATATGATGTGAACATTTCCATTAGTGTTGATTACTGGGTAAACTTACATTAGTAGACACTGATGTGAACATTCACATCAGTGTATAATGATGTGAACATTCCCATTAGTGTTGATTACTGGGTGAACTTACATTAGTAGACACTAATGTGAACATTCACATCAGTGTATAATGATGTGAATGTTCACATTACTGTCACTGTTGATATTGTTGATTGTTGATGTCCACAGAACCCCCAAACTTCACTTAACAATGTGATCGAATATGATGTAAATATTCACATTGTCACATCAATGTCATACTTGTTTGTGTTGTTGGGTGTTGTTTGGTGCTGTTGGTTCCACCCTTTGATTTTCAGCCAATGATAACATAATGTGATCACTCATGTAAACATTTACATTGCCATATAACTTTTGTTGTTTTCGTAATTGATTTTGTAAACACAGATGATGTAAACATTCACATTAGTGTTGATTACTGGGTAAACTTACATTACTAGACACTGATGTGAACATTCACATCAGTGTATAACGATGTAAATGTTTACATTACTGTCACTGTTGATATTGTTGATTGTTGATATCCACAGAACCCCCAATCTTCACTCAACAATGTGATGGAATATGATATAAATATTCATATTGTCACATCAATGTCATACTTGTTTGTATTATTGGGTGTTGTTTGGTGCTGTTGGTTCCACCCTTTGATTTTCAGCCAATGATAACATAATGTGATCACCCATGTAAACATTTACATTGCCCTACAACTTTTGTTGTTTTCGTAATTGATTTTGTAAACACAGATGATGTGAATATTCACATTAGTGTTGATTACTGGGAAAACTTACATTACTAGACACTGATGTAAACATTCACATCAGTGTATAACGATGTGAATGTTCACATTACTGTCACTGTTGATATTGTTGATTGTTGATGTCCACAGAACCCCCAATCTTCACTCAATAATGTGATGGAATATGATGTAAATATTCACATTGTCACATCAATGCCATACTTGTTTGTATTGTTGGGTGTTGTTTGGTGCTGCTGGTTCCACCCTTTGATTTTTAGCCAATGATAACATAATGTGATCACTCATGTAAACATTTACATTGTGTAGACACCCTATTTTTGACCGATCTTAAGACTCAGACGTCACCGATTGAGCGCTTGGTGATGTTGCATATTGTGCTCGTTCTGAGGTTGCGGAGTCTCGACTGCGAGCCTTGCCTCCAGACTTCGGGACTCTTTTGTGCTTTGCCTCGGTTTGCGAACCAGGCCTTGTTTTCTTTATTTTCTCTTCCCGAATGGAGGGAGAGGTCTCGTAGATCATCTCTCAGTGGCCGTAGGTTACGTTTCGTGGTCGTAGGCCATTTTTCTTGTTTTGGAGCCCGGTTTCTGATTTTTCGGAGCCAACGGCCGTGTGCCTCGGTTCGGGACCGCCTAACAACCTCCGTTTGCTCCGGTTTTTGGTATACACCTTATTTCCTCCCTTTCGAGGAACACTGTGGCCCGAGAGACCAACTTCGTGGTCGAACGCCACCTTCGGTGCTTAACAGCCCATTTTCGGGGCCCCGGGCCGCGCGTTTCGGTCCCCCGAACCTCCGTTTTGCATTCGTTTTGGTTCATTTTTGGTGGAGACCTTATTTTCACAGTTAGGAAGCTTGTAGGAGGGTGGAAGGCCAGCAATTGTTCTGAAAAGCTAGCTTTATTTCTTCATCGCTCTCCGACGCCCGTTTTCCTCACTTAAAAGCCAATGTTGACCACCCCGGGGCCACTTTCTTGAACCCTAAACCCCATATTTGTGTTGTGCACACTTGGGAGGCCACCAATATTTGGTGGCCGACCAGTAATTGTGCCTGACCCTTTTGGACCCCTCTAAAAAGTTGGCTTTTCTCTCTCCTGGTTCACTTTTTCTGGGTTTTGACTACATAGTTATGTTGTGCACACATGAGAGGCCACCTTTTTGAGGTGGCTGACCAGCAATTGTCATTGACCCTTTTGACCCTTGGTCGGCCGGCCATGGGAGGTGGCCAGCTGGCCCCCTGAACCTTCTGAACCTGGCCGGCCATGACCCTCTCACCTGGTTCCTTACAGCTGCACCCTCTGTTTCCCCCCAGATCTTGTATCCGAGGGGGGGTCTTTTGGGGGGGAAATTTGAATTTCATTTTCCCTCATTTTCCTTGCCTCTCTCCCTCTATAAGACCAGCACCTCCCCACCATTTCTAAGGGTTGACAAAAACCAATTGGAGCCTTGCATACATACATCCTCCATCTCTCTCATTCAACCATCAAATACCTTTGTTCTTGGACCATTTCTACACCACCTCATAGCACCACACCTCCATACTCCATTCCAGCAACTTGGAGGTTATTTCCAGAGGTTAGGAGCACCATTTCTTCAACCAAAAGCTGCTGGTTCTTTGGTCTTCAAGGGTGAGTCCTCTTTTTCCCTTTTCTAGTCTTTTCTTGCTCTA